TAACTATTACTTTAACAAGTAACTTCATCAAGTAAATTTACTAAGTAATTTTAACTTTATCAAGTGGCTTTAACTTTATCAAGTAACTTTAACTTTATTAAGTAACTTTAACTTTGTCAATTAACTTTTACTTTATCAGGTAACTTTAACAAGTAACTTTGACTTTATCAAATAACTTTATTAAGTAACTTTATTAAGTAACTTTAACTTAATCAAGTGGATGTTTAAAAAATCTCAGGAGTGGTGGAAAAACTCTCCAGGACATAGACAGGCCAAAGAGTTCATAAAAGGACCATAGCGACTCACCGAGCCTCTACTAAACCTTAATAGGAAAAATACTAGAGTACTAGTAGGTCTATTAACAGGGAATTGTAGGCTTAACAAACATATGTATAATATCGGTCTGACAGAAGAGACGTTGTGCCGATTCTGTCAGGAAGAGGAGGAAACGGCAGTACACATATTGTGCTACTGCGAAGGTCTAGCAAGACTGAGATTCCTTACACTTGGAGAAGAAAAACTAAGGGCAACTAGCTATACCGGAGAACTACTTCCCAGTCTATGGAATCTACTACAAAAGACCGAATTAGATAAGTTACTCTAAATAACGATTCAAGGATATCCACAATAGGTCTGAAAAGGTCGAGGTGGGGGAGGCTACGTGGCCCACAGTCCTAATTTAATCTAATCTAACTTTATCAAGTGGCTTTATCTTTATCAAGTTACTTTAACTTTATCAAGTAACTTTATTTTATCCACTAACTTTATCAAGTAACTCTATCAAGTAACATTATCAAGTAACTTTACCATTATTTTAATTTGGTTATTTTATTTATAGCTAAAAGAAAGGAATATATTATAAGCTGCATACGTATATACTGTATATGTATAGGTAACTTATTACTATGAAAAATAGATAATTTATATTGGTATCATATTAAGATGAAAAATGATTGAGGTTTCAGCTCATTCTGCCTGTTGCAATAACATTCAATAAAATGTATGGGCCTGATAAACTTTGAAAGAGCTTGATAATGTGAACTGAGTAAATGATATGAACTTCAAATTGCGCATATGATAATAAAGTTATGGAATCATTACCTATTGAGAGCTTCAACAATCGTTCTTGTAACCAGGTGATGTCTTAACATTTACATAAAAAATGGCTATTAATCAAGTGGAAATTAAAACGGTTCATTCATTCATTCATTTATTATTACTTCTCCCAGGCTAGAATCATAAATAATAAATATTCAAGGTATACACAAACTTCTGTTATAATCTTCCTTTATTTTTCATAATATACAGTGGGTGTTCTATAAAGTTTGATCCATATGGGAATTTTTTTAACATTCCATTGGAAAAAACGTCGTAGAACATTCAGATCTGCTTTTTTAAAAGCGTTAAATTGCCCTTATTAAAGTTGGCTAGGTTTTACATTAGTTATCGGTCAAATTTAGTATTTTTTAAAAATATTCTTTAAATTTTTTTTAATGCCAATTTGACAAAAATCTAATGTCAGTAGCCAACTTTGATATGGGCTATTTTAAGTTTTTTAAATAAGTAGAGGCGATTGCCCTACGAAGTTTTTTCAAATCGTAATATTAAAAAAAAATTCTGACATGGATCCAACTTTATGGAACACAGTGTATATATTATTTAAATACCCTCTAAAGAAAGATTATTTTGTTCAGTTTATTAAAAACAATGTTTCCTATTTACTACAATAATATTTAAAACAATAATTCAAACTAACAAAAAATTGGTGTCTTTAATAACAATTATTTATTTTAATTTTAGAGGTACCTAGTTAATTATTTATAAAAATTTCAGAAGTTCACTCTTTAATTTATACATAGTTTAAGGTTTTCTGCGCACCTGCCTTTTTATACACTAGGCCCTTCAAATCAATAGAAGTAAATAAAACCTAATTGGATTTATAATTGGTTTCTTTTTATCAGGCTGTCTACATCTTTTTTATATGTCTCTCTATTGGTTGTTCTTAAGGGCCATTTTTGAGTTCTTAATTCGTATTGCACGTCTGCGTAGCTCTTGCAATTACAGCAAATGCATTGCCTCTCATCTTATTGCAGTTGCAGTTCTAAAAAAATGGCTAAAATGAGCATTGCCAATTGATTTAACAATTTTTATAGTTTACATTACGTAATTTAACTGGAATATGAAAGAATGAAAGAAATATCAATGGTATTATGTTATCCTATTAAATAATATTTTTCCCTAATTTCCTTAGTATATTGGAGAACATTTTTCCCCAATTAAGTTGGTGTTATTTTGTTTCAATTTAGGGTCGATCTTTTCACCTTCAGATAAAGTGCCAGGTAATTTTTATCTCCCAAGTAACTTAAAAAAGTAATCTTTTCACTTCTGGATAAACCTAACTTCTGAATGATAAATTAACTTAGTTATAATATTCCTGATAAAATACTTCACTGATGGATAAACAGGTAGCTACATAACCACATAAGGTTAAAAACTACTGGATACTTACCATACATATTATTTACTTGAAAAAACAGAAAATTAATTATCTGACAGATAGTAACTCTCAGATAATATATTCGTCAGTTAGTTATCTGGAACTTTATCTGAAGGTGAAAAGACCGACCCTTAATCTTTTACACTGAATTGCTTATTTTTTTTTTTTCTAAAACTGGGCCTACCTTTGGAAAATCGTCTAAAACTAAATACTGAATGGTATATACCCATTTGTTTGTCAAATATTTCCTCTAAAAGAATAAAAGACGTAACAAATTCCCATTTAGCACGTCAAACAATAGATTATTTGACCAGCTAAAATGTCTCCCTCAAAAATAAATTACGTTTTCAAAGTTTTTTAAAAGTAGAAGGTGCAGTTAAAGCTTTTAAAAATAAACTATTAAATACATCATCTTCGGAATGGAATAAATATTATGACTATTTCTGTCTTCTTCTATTCCGAAATTTAGTTAGTTAAACTAACTTATTATTTGTATTTTTTGCTGTTTATCTAACTATACCATTAGGGAAATATATATTGGTATATTTATAGAAATTAAGTACCCATTAATATTACCAACAAGGGCGTACGGTAGTTAATCCCTCCACTTTGAGTTGTATCCCTCAGGTGGCAAACCCTATATCATTTTACATGAATTTCGAATTAGTTTCAACTGTTTTCCGAAGGCTTTAGTTCGCCAACGACCCGGCGAACGTTAAAAACTTTCTAATGCATTTTCCCGTTGGTTAAGCTGGAAACGTTTTTAATTTTGCATCGAGTTTTTAGCGCTGGATCTAAATAGGATTTTAATTTCAACACTATAAGAATGCGCTTAAAAGTACTTAAAATTGTGCGCGGTGACGTTGTATCAATCAAATTGAAAATATTATTGAATATGTTTCTAATCTCTCATGACCATTTCAGATCTATTGCATATTGCGGTTCCGGACAATTGGCCGACATCCAATTGACCAATACTCAATTGATCGACAACCAATTGACCGACAGACAATTGATCGACACACAAGTAATCGTCATGACAATTGAGCAGAAGGACAATTTATCGACAGGACCATTTCATCCGACGGGACAATTTACTGACAGGATAATTTACCGATAGGACAATTTACCGACAGGACAATTTACCGACAGGACAATTTACCGACAGGACAATTTACCGACCGGACAATTTACCGACAGGAGACAATTTACCCACAGAAAAATTTACCGGCAGTAAAATTTACTGACAGTACAATTTACTGACAGTACAATTTATCGATAGTGCAATTCACCGAGAGGCCAAATGACCGATAAGCTAATTTACCGATACATTAAAATACCGAAAATGAACCAATTTTAATCCTCGCGCTGGTTCCATGTTACACAGGCTCAGTAAATAAGTAAAGTTTTTTTAATTTTTCTTATTTTGACGAAGCAGCCCGTGATTGCTTTAGGCCCCACAAGTTATGTAAGTTTTTTAAAACATTTCCCTGTTCTATTTTCATACCTTGAGCCGCCTAGACGATCTTTTAAACTTTTACCAATTTTTCGTCCTTACATTGTTTTCTAGTAAATGTTTTTTTGAATAATAATATGTGTTAGGTAAATAGTTTTAATTTATTCTGCCGGGATATTTGTGGATTAACCTGCCACTGTCGGTTAATTGGCCTGTCAGTATATTGTCCTGTCGGTCAATTGTCCTATCGATCAATTGTCCTGTTTCTTTTAAATTAATATTTTTAAGATCATCTGAATATCCGTCGGCATCAACGTTTTGATATTTCTATAAACCCCCTTCAGGTGACATCAATAACATCATTAGAAAATTTTTTATTTTATATGGAATTTGACAATTTGACTGTTCATATTGTGTGACACTGCATTTGAAATCTAATTTCATCACTAATTCAACGCCATACATAACATAATCTTAACTAAATTAATAATGAACTTAAAACAAAAAAAATTGCCTAATTTTTATTTTGTTGTGGAAATATAAAGCAACTAAAAATTGAACTTTTCTCTCTTAATTTTTTTTTACTTGGGTAGTTCGCTTCATTTTTAAGAAAAAAATTAAACTTTTGCACTTCTTTGAACATATGAAAAAAATGCTTTATAAAAAAAAAAATAAATAAATTTCAAATAATCTATAGGATGTGTCTTTTTAAGCAAAAATTAATGGACTTTTCCCGTGAGTGGGAACTACTATGGTAATTTTGAATTCACGCTAATAGGTCCAAAATATACCTAAAGATATAAAGAAACTGAAAATTTCAATGAAATCGGTTAAACCTGTTTTAACATATTGAATAAAAATTGATTTTTTGTAAATTTTAATACCCTGTAACTCGGAAACAAAGAATTTTCGGACATATGTTGATAACACCAAAAATGTATATTTTAATATCACCTCCCAGTTTGGTGGTATAGTTACGAATCACCTAGTATACTAGTTAACACAGCTGCTTTATTTACATTACTAATTTAAGAAATCTTGTTACAGGTGAGGACGTTATTCGTGAGTGGCCTTCCAATGGATGCCAAGCCTCGGGAATTATACTTGCTCTTTAGAGCATATGAGGTAAGTTTATTTTAATTAATTATTAGTATTTGTATACTAATTTTAAAATGGAAGCTCTATATCTCTATAGTGTCCTAGTAAAATACACTAGTCATCATTTTTGATACACTACAAGATAATATTTAGAAGGCAACTATTTTGTGTAGACTATAAGAACACCAAATATTAATTGCAGTGTTAAAACGTTCCAAACCCATACAGTTACAGCTACTTTAATCCTCTGTCAGAAACATGTTTAATGCGTCAATCTATTTATCTACCTTTCTGTATCAGGAAGTAAATCGGAAAGTATAAAATATTCTTAATTGTACTCACACCTATTTCAAAGAGCTAAGCCTATTTTCATTCCATCAGTTTATATTTGTACCTATTTTTATTTATATAAGTAAGATGTTAAGTCGGTAGGTTCCAGCCTGTTAAAACGAAGAACCTGGATTCTTGTTTCTTCTGGGTGTACATCTTTAATTTCTATACTGATTCTACCCTTCACCAATAGTATGTGACCTAAGGTTTTCCGTAGTGAAAGCCCTGGTTACCCACTAAAACAACTCTCACCATCTGAAGTCCCGGTATCATCTTTTCAACATCCGTTTAGAACTCCAGAGGATATTTACAGCTATTAATTACTTCTTTCGTCTTCATGATTTTTCGAAAAAATGATCTAATTTTTTCTTTCTTCCATATTACCTTACAACTGGTCATTAAATTGACGATTGTTGGATAGTACCTCTTTTCTATTATTTACGGTTACTTCATGCCTTTCTCGCTCCCAACCAACACTCTCTAAAATAATATGTTCAGGTGAATCGAGTTAAAGGTAAAAAAGAACCGCCATTTCTTTGCTGTCACGACACTAGCGAACCTAGCCCTGATGAATTTTATCCTATCTTTTTGGAAAACAAACAATTTATAGTTACACCTTACCTCCTGGAAAAAATTCTGACTGCTCCCATGGTTAGAGAATGTACTAATATGTATTAATGTATTAATAATAATGGAACAAGAAACAACTGAAGATTCTTTAATTGAAAATAAGACGATTAGACGATATATGCTTAGGTAAAATATTACTCGTTTTCACAATAAAAGTTTAAAATTCAAAAATTTTTGGTGTCATAGAGAACAGCTATCAGCAAAAAAATCAGTTGAATAAACTTTGTCAGTGGCGTACGGCATGGATGAGTAACACATTCATCTATTCTAAATTTTACGCCACTGTCCAAAATCCAAATAACTATATTTTTAAATTGTTCGATTTTTTTTTTAAATCATGTACTATTGTTTGGAACTTATAAAAAGATTGGTTTTCGAGTTATTCGCACTCAATGCTGGGTTACTCCTTATTTTAATTTATTTGAAAATTTTATAATTTTATTTTGTTTTATAAATTTCCAGCAGGGGTACATAACTTATTTAAAAAACAAATACAAAATTTTCAATTATAGTCCAAATACGTTTTTGAACACTGCTACAGTGGCGTAAAATTCAGAAGGGATAAAGGTATTACTTGCCCATGCCATACGCCATTATCAAAGTTTATTTATTTGACTTTTTTGCTGAAATATGTATCTTAAGTTTATCGAATTTAGAAAAATTTTACTAAGTAATAATAAAATTTTAGTCATTAATAATTTCTAATTTTTAACATTAACACCTTCACAGAGAGAAATTCATGCTCATTTTTAGCAAAAAATAAGCATTTTTGGGCTTGTTTGTATCCACTATCTTTTTTAAGGAAAGACTGCGGTCCAAAACTCTCGTCTCGTCACGAAACACCTCAATATGTAAAATTTTGTACAGCGATTTGTATACTGTAGGTAAATATCTTTAATCGAGTACCAAACTTGTTGTATCTGTATCTGTAACGTGTAGAGGGTGGGTTACCCCCACGGCACTTAGGCCTCATTAGGCCCATTGTGAATCCTCCTAAGATGATAGGCACCTCCTAGCTCGTGAGCCAATGACACGCCTCCGCACGGTTGGAATAGTACTTGATGTAGGATCTGGTAAGGCGAGATGTCGCTTTTGGCAGGAGGTGCCAGGGAACTCTTAAGTTACTGCAGCAAACAAATACTTGACTATGACTAGACAGAATCTGCGCCTAATCACAGGCATTTTGACGGGTCATTGCCAAGTACGGAAACATCTCCATATCATGGGGCTGTCAGAATCCGCATTTTGGAGAGGATGCGAACAAGAAGATGAGACAATCGAGCATATCCTTTACGATTGCTCGACGCTCTCATTTATTAGAAGATTTGTGTTCGGCGAGAAGCACCTCTTGGCGACGTTGGCAACTACATTATATCTGTAAGCTGGCTCACGAGCTAGGAGGTGGCTATCATCTTAGGAGGATGCACAATTGGCCTAATGAGGCCCAAGTGCCGTGGGGTAACCCATCCTCCACACGTTAAAGTTACAGATAGTTACTTGTTACTTTAGATTGTGACAGTAATTTGTTATTAAGTTTAAATAGATTTTGACATTTTGACTCTTTTATTTGATTGATTGAAAAGTAGTGAAAAACGTGTGCGTTAATATACTTCTTATCTTACGCAAAATGAGTGGGATAAGAAGTTCTTATCTCGCGGGCCTAGATAAAAATATTAAAAACATTAACAAACATATTATACTTTAATATTATTGTCCTTCCGATGACTGCGAAAACTGGCACGTCGATTTTTTGTAGTTGGGTATAGAGGGGAGGAGAAACAAGTTATACTATGTCCAAGCGGCGGGAGCTGTCGTGTTACCTAGGAAATTCAAAGTAATTATATAGAATGGTTTACCATATACGGTACGTAACTTGGTGTATAAACTACCAATTATTTTGAAAAAAATTTATTTGGATACATGTAACTCAAGAGCTACATCTCAAAATTTATTTCAAAATATCCCAGAAAAAATATGAAGATTTTTTTATGAAAGCCTTATATTTTTTTGCATTTATAGACTCTAAAAACAGGTGTTTTTTTTATGTTTAACACTTGTGGTCTAAATTTATTACTATGCAATAAAATATTGGGCTTTCCATAAAAAAATATAACTTTCATATGTCATACTTTTTTGGGCACTATGTATATTTCAAAATAATTTTAAAATGTATTGGCTTATACCTAAGTAGCCATAGGAAAACATCAAAATTGTTATAATTTATGCACCAAATTTAATGCCGTGTATTATACATCGTCCTTTATGAAGATGTTTCACTGAAAGAATAAATCAAACTCGCCTGCATTTTTTCCAACATTAAATATGCTACTTCAACAATAATTAAATAACTCACTCTTTCTGTATTCATTCTATCATTTACCTTAATAATCCATTTTAAACACTAACTCTAGATAACTCTAAGATGCACTGGCGATAAATATACTTTATTCCTTGTTTCTTGTCTGAATGTTTTCCTCGACAAAGTTTAAAAGTGGGGATGTAATACTAAAAAATCGTTATACATAGGTACTTAAAATCAAGAACTTTTGTTCTCAATTTAAACACGGTATTTTTCATTTTAAGAAACTCTCATACTTATTTTTAGCTTGGGCGATCTTAAAAAATTCTTAAGAAAAATAGAGTTGTAGATACTTTAAATCAGTTTTATTCTCAATTTAAGCACCTTTTTGTAATTTAGGAACCATCATACTTATTTTAAGCATGTTAATTCTTAAAAAATCTTAAGCGAAAGATTATGCATACTTAAAATCAAGGAGTTTTATTCTCAATTTAAGCATGGTACTTTTTAATTTAAGAAACCCGCATACTTTTTATGAGCATGGATATTAATAAAAAATTCTCAAGCGAAAGACGGTTATCCATACTTATATTAAGAAGTTTCTTTTTAATTTTAATCTCGTTTCTTCTTAGTCGAAGAAAATCTCTTGCTTAATTTAAGTATTTTAATTTTAATTTTTAATTTAAGTAAGTATTCTTTAGAAAATTCCAAACAAAAGGAGAATGAAACAAAAAGTTTTCTTCTCAGTTTAAGTACATTATTTCTTAATTTAAGAACGTTTTAAGCTTAACTATTGTTTAAAGTTTAAAGATACCATACCATAATGTTTTTGGTATCTCAATTTATTACAACTCAACTTTTACAATAACTATACAACTGAAAACATTAACGTATAACGTCTATCATAAAACTGACTGTCTGAAGTTTAATGTTGACTTTTTCATTTTTCTAGGACATTTTATTTTCTTAATACCCTGCTATAAGAGCTATCCTCCTTTTTAGGGTGGTTACCGACTTATATGGTTTGATTTAACCTTTTCGGACTTTCCAGAACGTCCAGATGTTTCTTGACATTTCTTGACTAATTCCATAAAGGTGTGCCTGATGATGAAGTGACAACTTCGAAACCGGTCGCCAATTAAATTGACTTGTGAGAAATAAAGGACCTTTTCTTTAACCTTTACACTTAATCCCTACTACTCACATATGGCTACCCTCACTCCAAATAATTTAAGAATGCCTGGATTCATATAAAGAATATTTTTACTTCAATTCAGAATTAGAGTGCTGCATTCTTATGCAAATTTCTGTGTGTTGTATCTCGGAAATGAGTAACTCTTACCTAAACATGTTTCGTTTAGTCGTCTTATTTTTTATCAGAAAATCTTCAGTTGTGTGCCATTCTTAATGGGACACTCTGTATATGACATAGTCAAAATGCGCTTTAGGAGACGTAACTCAAATTAAGTATCCTTATAGACATTAAAAGAAAAACTCTAATTCTTTATTACAAAGAAATATTGGTACTTGCGAAATTTTGTTTGAAAAAAAAATTAAAACTCATTGTTGAAATTTATTAAAATCCACAATTAAGTTAATTAATAGTAATTATTATCTTTTTTCTTTTGTTGAAATGAACAACTAAATATGGCTTCATTTTAGTTTAAGAGATCAAGAAATCCATAATCGGCTTATAATATAAATCCATAAATTAGCATATGAAAAAAAAATTTGTCCATGAGATTATTTTATAAAATAGAAGCTATTTCTTAGAAAAATATTGATATTATGTGTTATTAATTATAGGAAAAAAAGTATTATTATATTGTTCTGTTTGATTTCAGGGTTACGAAGGATCACTTCTGAAAGTTACGAGTAAAAATGGAAAAACAGCATCGGTAAGTTAATTCTTCCATGAAATTAAATAAAAACAGGTATAGAAAATAAGTAACCGTGTAAAAATAGTAATTCAATACTTAATTGCTAATTTTAATTTAACAACGTAATATACTTTTTATCTAAATTAATATACGTTTTATAGAGACTTTTTATCGCGTTTTTAATTTTCTATAAAAACGAGGCGAAATATAAAACTACAGGACTTTTTCATAAAAAATAAGTTATGAGATTTATAAATTTTAATCAGGAAGGTTAAAGCTAACCTCACTTAGATTAAAGAAAGAAGAAATCTAACATTCACCCGTGTTTAATTTGCGCGAATGTTGCCATTTTGTAGATGGGTTAGATCAGCCATACTCAACCTTTTTTTTCCTTCCTGCCACATTCGTATGTTTGCTATGTTACACGGGCCGCAATCCATTTAAAATTAGGTAGTGGGGATCTCTAATAAATTAAACGCAAAACATAAATATATCATGTCGGGTTACTGTAAAAACAAGATAACTCACATTTTTAGAGTTTCGAGAAAACGCTGTTCAAAAGGTTGAAATTGAACAAAAAAATCAGTACTTAAAAGCTTCAAACTGTTTAATAAGCTTAAATGAAAAAAGAAAAGGTATTCAAAACATAATTATTCTTCACAAAGAATCCATCGATTGGTAACAAAAAAAAACAGAAAAGACAATACAAAAAAGAAAATAAAATAAAAGAAAAAAGAAAAAAAAGGAAAAAAAGAAAAGAAGAAGTAAAAAGGAAAAAAGAAAAAAAGAAAAAAAGAAAAAAAGAAAAAAAGAAGAAAAAAAGAAAAAAGAAAAAAAGAAAAAAAGAAAAAAAGAAAAAAAGAAAAAAAGAAAAAAAGAAAAAAAGAAAAAAAGAAAAAAAGAAAAAAAGAAAAAAAGAAAAAAAGAAAAAAAGAAAAAAAGAAAAAAAGAAAAAAAGAAAAAAAGAAAAAAAGAAAAAAAGAAAAAAAGAAAAAAAGAAAAAAAGAAAAAAAGAAAAAAAGAAAAAAAGAAAAAAAGAAAAAAAGAAAAAAAGAAAAAAAGAAAAAAAGAAAAAAAGAAAAAAAGAAAAAAAGAAAAAAAGAAAAAAAGAAAAAAAGAAAAAAAGAAAAAGAAAAAAAGAAAAAGAAAAAAAGAAAAAAGAAAAAAGAAAAAAGAAAAAAGAAAAAGAAAAAAGAAAAAAGAAAAAAGAAAAAAGAAAAAAGAAAAAAGAAAAAAGAAAAAAGAAAAAAGAAAAAAGAAAAAAGAAAAAAGAAAAAAGAAAAAAAGAAAAAAGAAAAAAGAAAAAAGAAAAAAGAAAAAAGAAAAAAGAAAAAAGAAAAAAGAAAAAAGAAAAAAGAAAAAAGAAAAAAGAAAAAAGAAAAAAGAAAAAAGAAAAAAGAAAAAAGAAAAAAGAAAAAAGAAAAAAGAAAAAAGAAAAAAGAAAAAAGAAAAAAGAAAAAAGAAAAAAGAAAAAAGAAAAAAGAAAAAAGAAAAAAGAAAAAAGAAAAAAGAAAAAAAGAAAAAAGAAAAAAGAAAAAAGAAAAAAGAAAAAAGAAAAAAGAAAAAAGAAAAAAGAAAAAAGAAAAAAGAAAAAAGAAAAAAGAAAAAAAGAAAAAAGAAAAAAGAAAAAAGAAAAAAGAAAAAAGAAAAAAGAAAAAAGAAAAAAGAAAAAAGAAAAAAGAAAAAAGAAAAAAGAAAAAAGAAAAAAGAAAAAAGAATAAAAGAAAAAAAGATTTCGCATTCATACTCAACTATTTAAGTTTTTAAGTTATTTAAAGGATAAGATAAGTGGGAATATTGAATATTGAAAGTTTTACTCCCGGGAGTAGAAGCCAAAATACATCAAAACGTTCGGGGTTATATGCCCTAATTATATCTAAATTAATTTTTAAAATTTTGTAATCTTTTTTAAGAGTATCGCAGAAAAAATGCTGTAGAACTCTAGTGGCTATCATATCCACTCTTGTTACACAAACTACTATTTTGTACTAGGCGTATTGTTTAATATTTACATAGTTTGCGGGAAAACACTTTTTACACCAGTTGTATAAATAACTAATAACAGACATTTTACAGCTTAAAAATTGAAAATTTCTAATGCTTTCTGAGCCTTTATTTTTAGTCCGATTTTGGTGAAATTTTTAATAATAACAAAACTTATGGAGGAGAAATCTTGATGTTTTTGTAACCCTTTGAAAAGTATTAATTTTTATAAATTTGAAAATATAAAAAAAACATTTGCGCGCCATTCTGTATTAAATCTATGAAAATTTGCTGCTTTCTGTTTTAATAAATATCTAGTAGTTTGCTGTTAAGAGAGTTTCCCACCTTTTTTTCTTAAATGTCTCTGTAGAGAGCAGTCTTTTTGTCACAAATTGAACGCTCTTAATATTCTCGAGACACATAACAACGCGAAATATTCCCAGAAGCGCGCTTGTAAATATAATTTTATATTGAAAAATCTCCATATTTTTGTTTTTTCGCGAGAGATTCAGATTTGCTCTTAATACTAAGTAATAAATATTAAATAGTAGTTTTATTTTATTATTTATTTAAAAGTTTGTAAGATGGTAAATTTACTTTAAGACAACTCAAATCTTACCGAATACATTTTTATAAAAAAGTTTTATAACTAAGTTTATTTCAAAGGAGTTCACAACCTGGATTTCTGATTATACAAACTTCAGAAAATATATTAAAATAACTCTTGAACAAGAGATTTTCTTAGTTCCGCAAAATGAAAATAAAATTATTATGTAAGAGGATTGTTTTCGAAAGTTTGTTTGAATACAAAGTTAAATACATTTTCTTGAAAAAAAAGAAATGTATTTTTCAACTTTTCACAGTGGTTGTATAAAATAATTTTACCTTTACATCAAAATATTTACAATTTACAATCTAACTACAAGAGTATTGAACAAATAGTTTGAATTGTGGCTTGTCCAATACAATTAATCAGTTAAGTCCACTGGCCATGCCGTTTTGGGTCTTCTTTCCACTGGTGACAGCTGTTAAAGTAGATTTACAGTTAGGCTATCATGACTGAAATTTATTTCTTCTACTTTTTTTTGCATGTAGAGTGATAATCTCTTTTATAAATACCAAATTGATGTGGATTGTTGAATTGATAACGTACTATGGAAAATGTTTGCTAGCATCGATCGGAAAGTTTGTAGTATTTTACTATTGGACGAACATAATTTGGCACCATAGCTCCAAATCGGCTTTAGTATAATTTTGCAGAGTAAAACTTTGTTTTCTAATGGGGATTAGAATTTTATTGATGTAAACTTGTGGATAATCGATCCTTCTTGTTGTAAATGTAATTTATGTGGACTTACCTTATTCTTTTATCGTTTTAACCATGTCTATAGCGAGTTTAAAAAGTTTTGCAGCTTTTCAAAAGCTCTATCTGGATTTTTGTCTAAGGTAAGGATTCCTGTGTCATCGGCGAATGTTGCCACAGTGATGTCATCTTCAAAAGGTATGTCATCAGTAAATAGGACTGAGGACACTTCCTTGAGGAACTCCGGATTGTATAGGATGATGTTTTGAGAATGAGGTATTTATATTGAAGAATCGCTCGTTCGGGTATGATTAGACAAATGCGTTTACACTTTGTATAACAGTCCTTTGTGTCACACCTTACCGAAAGCTTTTTCTTTATCGAGGAATATTGATGCACACATTTTCATCTCTTCTAAGGTTCCTTTAATATAGTTAACAATCCGATGACATTGCTATATTGACGAGTAATTCAACCAAAAGCAAAATTGATTATTAGGTATTAACCTAATATTTGACACACGTTTCTATGACTATGTTTACATCACAGAGAAGACATTTATTTCTTATGAGATTGATGTTGTTGTGAAGCTGAATAATCCCAACTTTCCTATATTGGAGTAATTGTTGTTCATGACTCCAGCAAATTTTGCTATTGTCTTTTTAACAGTCTCCACCTTAAGGTCCCTATCCAAATAGGGTTGCGACAGTACCAGTATGCATCGACGATGATGCTTAATACTTTGTTTTGGAAACGTTTATTATCTCGGATGTTACTTTTACTGACACCACCCCAAAGTGGTATACGGGTTTCAATATCTGTTTGTAAAGGACCACTTTAATATTTTTTGACAATACAGTCCTTTTGTATTATACGAGGATGTATCAGAAAATAACGAGACTGGTGCTATAGTATAACAACGAAACATTTATTTAAAAAAATTCAACAACTATCCTTCGAAGTACTCTCCATTCTGTTGAATACACTTATTCCATCGCTTTATCCACTTATCATAAACTTCTGAGAAACCATTTTTTGATAGTCTGTTTAGTATACTCATCACAGCGTTGTTGAGCTCTAAATCCGACTCAAATCTTCTACCTCTCAATTCTTTTTTAACTTCAGAAAACAAATGGAAGTCACAAGGTCAGGAGAGTAGGGGGGATGAACCATAATTTCAACCCCTAATTCTTCAATTGTTCGTTGACAAATCATTGATCTATGAGCCGGAGCATTGTCGTGATGCAGCGTCCAGCCAAAGTCCTGATAAAGCGGCCTTTTTTTCTTTAATTTTGCCTTTAAGGGTCCTCGAAGTACATTAGAATAGTACTCCCCTGTTACTGTATGTCCTCTAGGTACAATGTGATCGTAAATAACGCCAAATTTATCAAAAAAAATCAGGTGCATCACTTTACCAGTGCTTTTAGCAGTTTTGGCCTTCTGCGGTCTTGGGCTGCCTTTATGCTTCCATTGCATACTTTGAGACTTCAATTCAGGATCGTAATGATAAAACTAACTTTCGTCACATGTAACCACATTATTTAAAAACTGTGGGTTATGTTGCAATTGCCTTTTCCACTGCTGACAAATTGTCACTCGATTCGCTTTTTGTTCATCGGTCATCACTTTTGGAATCCATCTTGCCGCGATCTTCCGGTACTCTAAATCTTCATGAATAATTTTTTGAGTGGTACCGTAAGACAAATTAACATTGTCAGAAATTCGTTTTATGCCAATCCGGCGATCATTTTGTATCAAGTCGTTAATTTCTGCAATTTTTGTGTCATTTCTCGCAGTTTGTGGTCGACCGGGACGAGGTTCATCTTCAACTGATTCACAACCGTCTTTAAACTTTTTATGCCACTCAAACACTCTACATCGTGATAAACGTTGGTGTTTTACCCAACCGAACACAAAATTTTATCGCGTATCTTTGCTCCACTTTCATTTTTCGATGGGTACGCAAAACACTGACAATTCAATAATTAATTTGTAACAAATGTCAAAAGTTAAATCAAAGCCTACTTGCGGGGTAGTACATTAAATATAAGGCTTTCATGTCTCATTTTTTGGGTTATAAAATGTTTCCTCTGAAAGAAGTTATAGCACCAGTCTCGTTATATACTGATATATCCTCGTATACCAAGCTCTTCCCATTTATTTTCTATTAAGACTTTTCAACGACGTCTAGCATAAACTCTCATGCATAGATATTTTACTGAAATGATATAAGGAATTTGATTGCCGTTTATTCTAATGGGAATATATTGATTTTGTTTAATGGTGGAGTGAATGAATTTGCAATAATTTAATTTATTTTGTTATATCATCAACCAAATCTGGTTTATAGATTTTGCAATTTTTTTCGTAAACATCAGATAATGTTGTAATAGTAGTTTGCTCAAAATTATTAATATTTCTGGTATACAGCAAGTAGAATACGTGGTACTCTTGTCTTGATTTCTCCAAGTTCAGAATAGACTTTTTCCTGTCTTGTTCTGAAATACCTTCCAGAAAAATAGAATTTCAATAGTTTTAAGTAGCGGTTGGCAGTAGCATGTTCATTTTATTAATCAATCCTCTATACAATAGTTTGTCATAAGCCTAAGCCATATCTGTAATTTTGTGAGCCTGGTCGATGGTCGATGTTTTTCTCTGAAAATGGTGGGGTATTAGGGGCTTTTATTATATTATATGTTTCAATCTTTTAGGAAGCAATATTTCGTAGAGTTTCGAGATAGCAGGCAACAAAGAAATAGGCCTGTGTGATGTAATTTCAATGAGTTTACCTGGCTTAGGTATCATTATAACCTCTGCTACCATTCACATCTTTGGTACTTACTTTAACCTAGAAGACGCATTGATAGAGATTGGTTATTTTATGAATAGCTTCCAGTGGGACCATTTTCAAAAATGTTCTGCTAATAAGGGTTTTTTTCAAATTTATATTATTTTCAGAGGAAGGTTCTATCCAGTGTCGAATTGTTTGCTTTTAATTTTATTAACTAAAGAATAATACTAGATTGTTATCCAGTTTAACAACCATTACAAAACAAAATTCAGATATGAAGTAGGGATCTAAAATTATATCTGATTTTTTGCTAATTTTATCTCCACTGTGTTATACCTAATTACAAACTCGCCAGCTATCACCCCTTCATCTGATATCCACTCAGAGTACCTAAAAAAAACCTGCTATTCAAAATAAATGAATCATAAAAATGACCACCCCATAGCACATTTATTTGGTTATATATGAGGGTGATAATACGGCTTTACGACCCCAACTGTGTATATATATATCAACGAAAGATAGACTGACATTTTACTACCTTTTTCAGCCTGTGGGGTTCGTGACTTTTAACACCAGAGCAGGAGCCGAAGCAGCTAAACAGGACTTGCAGGTGGGTCACTTTAGATTTTAGTTTGTTTTAATCCTTATAATACAGGGGTGACTCAAAAATTAAATACGTAAGAATTGATGTACTAGAAACCTAATTGAGTATTTGTTTTTTATATATGTCAATATTTCTTTATAAATTTTATATTATGTACCTTTTCTTCAGCAAGAAATAGGTAAAACTACATTTGTATATTTGTATTCGTTTACTTTTTTTCTATACAAACACTAAACTGGACCTTCTGTGACGAATACAGTTTGTTTTTAATTCTTTTTTGCATTACACACTGTATATTTAATTCAAATGAAAGAGAGAACCCTGTCTCAAGCAGATGTTTATAAAAAAATGCATAATTATAATGCAATAAAATTTGCCGAAAATAATTTAAATAAAAAATACCTTACTTGCCACTATTATTAGTTGATTGAAGACCTTTCTAATGCATATTTATAATTCTTGATAAAACACGCCTATTATCAATAATTTGTGAACAAAAAATAGTGGTCCTCACAGTACTATAATCAACAAAAATATATTTTGATGACAAGTACTTCAAATTGTAAAAATAATAATGAAAAAGAGCTATTTGAAAAAGTACTTTATTATCTATCTCTAAGTTGTTTTTGAGTCACCCGGTGTAAATTTTTCATTTCAAACTATGCTGTTTTGTTTTCAATTAATCCTTCAGTATAACACATTTTTATACAATTAGAAAACAACCAAAAATAACACATATCCTACAACACCTTTTTTATGTATGGTCTTAGTACAAAATTATCAAAAATAAAAGTATTTATTTATACGAATATATTGTAAAAAAAATACGACTGTTTTGGTAGGTAAATTTTCTAAATTTATTTATAAATATGTTAAGAGAATGAGTGTTTGACACTGTAAATTAAGTAAGACGCTCCGCGCTAGAGTGGCCTATATACAAAAATGTACTTTCGAGAAAAATTTAATTATGAAATTTATTAAAATATGGGACCGTGTTTTGTTGTTACTTTTACAGTTTTTATTAGTAAAATATATGTCTCCAAAAGCTAACGTACTAAGAAAAAAAAAACACTTAGGCCACTATGGCATCTAATTAGTGGTAAAATAATAGCCTCTTTTTTATTTAGGCTACTAAACATTTTCATTTTCTTCTTTTATATCTTATGGCTGTATAGAGAACTGGAATGGAATTTCATTATATCCCCCCCATTCACTCAAAACTCAAAAATTTGATTTTTTTTATAAATACGCTACTAAATTAGTTGGACGTTCTTTGGAAGAGGCCATTATGATTCCTCGAAGAAAAAGTCACTATCTACCCTTCAGAAATTGTGTGGAGGGTACTATATTTATTTTTAACAATTTACCATTTGAAATAAAACAAGTATTCTACAAACTTTTTTTAAATTACTTATTTCGTCCTCATCAGTGAATCCTAAGGAACCGTTCTCGTTTTATTAAAATATTAGGAAAATATTCCTATTTTATTTAATATATTTTACATTAGGATTCAACCTGTTTGCTACTGTTACAAAAGAAAGGTACAATCTGGATACAACATTCAACATTCTTCTAAAAGAAGTTAAAATTTTACTGAATGCGTAAATAAACCCAGTAAAACCTTTGACAGCTAATTTTAATGCTTTAGGAAATCATAGTGGCCTAGTTACCACTTGGGTCACTATGATTTTAAAATATCACAAACTGATTGTGGCTCAACTGTTTTAGTTGCGCCATCTATTTAGAAGTATAGAAAGCTTATTTGGGCCAGTCTAAATTTATAAATTAGTCAAATGTACACGAATTGCAAAGTATATCACAAATAATGAAATTTTGCAGTTGCGCCACTCTGGCTCTGAGCGACTCAATTTGAGGTGTATTTATTAGTTTTTCGATGTTATCGATATCTATAAATAAAATAATTTTTAAAGTGAAAATATCTCGTTATTAATCAACGTGAGTAAAATGCAACAGAAGTTTCTTAAAAAGGAACCTGTTTAATATTTTTAACAGCAACTTCCAAATAAATAAAATAGATGAAAAATATTTCTCTTAGCTTAAAATTAATAAAAAAAAACAATAAATGATTTATTAAACTATTGAGAGAAGTTAAATATCAGATCTACACGACATGGCTTTTAATTGTTTTTTCTGTTGTCTCTCTATGACTACCCTTCCTTTTTATAGATTCCAATATTTCCACCATTACTTCTCTACAGTAGTAATAATGTATTTAATGTAGAATACTTCTGATTTGTTTTCATTTCCCATATCTCTATTCTTATAATAATTTTTTTTACATTATCATCAAACGACTTTTTATGTTTTTTTAATTGGTATAATAAATATTTCTCTCAAATATTGCAATCCTATTTTAAATCTTCTTCTATTTCTTTAAGTTTTTAAACCTTCCACAATGATATATTTTAGTATATAACCAATTGTAAACTTCAGAAATCTATTTCATATTACTATGTTTCCTTGTTCTTTTCTTTTGTTGTTATTTTTCACACGTGTGCTACACTATCTTCTTTATCAATTCCACATAGATAATCTTATTTTGTTCTATATTTTACTTTGATCCATATTTCTAATCTTCTGGAAATAGTTTTTAATTCGCTTTATAGTAAGTCAATCCTTTGATTTGTATATTATTACTGCCTCTACAATTTTTTTGAACAAATGAATACAGTGGATGGATTTCAAAATAGTTTTAAAGTAATGTCTTCACCAAATCTATAAAGTTAGTAATTACAAACCAAAATTATTTTAGTTAACTTAATTTTTTTGTACTACCAAAACTTTTCAACTAATTATACTCAAACGATATACAATGTGTCTAATGAGTGTTGAAGAACTAAGCCTATCCTCCCACATTCTCCGATACAGTTACAGAAGAAATTAAAATTTAAAAAATCAATTAAAACTGTCGTATTTAACGAGGAACCACAAGTTCGTTATTTCTAAGTAATATAAACAATACAACCAATTTACAATATATTTACAATATATTTACAATATATTTACAATATATTTACAATATATTTACAATATATTTACAATATATTTACAATATATTTACAATATATTTACAATATATTTACAATATATTTACAATATATTTACAATATATTTACAATATATTTACAATATATTTACAATATATTTACAATATATTTACAATATATTTACAATATATTTACAATATATTTACAATATATTTACAATATATTTACAATATATTTACAATATATTTACAATATATTTACAATATATTTACAATATATTTACAATATATTTACAATATATTTACAATATATTTACAATATATTTACAATATATTTACAATATATTTACAATATATTTACAATATATTTACAATATATTTACAATATATTTAAAATATATTTAAAATATATTTACAATATATCTACAATATATTTACAATATATTTACAATATATTTACAATATATTTACAATATATTTACAATATATTTACAATATATTTACAATATATTTACAATATATTTACAATTAATTTACAATATATTTACAATATATTTACAATATATTTACAATATATTTACAATATATTTACAATATATTTACAATATATTTACAATATATTTACGATATATTTACGATATATTTACAATATATTTACAATATATTTACAATATATTTACAATATATTTACAATATATTTACAATATATTTACGATATATTTACGATATATTTACGATATATTTACGATATATTTACAATATATTTACAATATATTTACAATATATTTACAATATATTTACAATATATTTACAATATATTTACAATATATTTACAATATATTTACAATATATTTACAATATATTTACAATATATTTACAATATATTTACAATATATTTACAATATATTTACAATATATTTACAATATATTTACAATATATTTACAATATATTTACAATATATTTACAATATATTTACAATATATTTACAATATATTTACAATATATTTACAATATATTTACAATATATTTACAATATATTTACAATATATTTACAATATATTTACAATATATTTACAATATATTTATTTACAATATATTTACAATATTTTTACAATATATTTACAATATATTTATTTACAATATATTTACAATATATTTACAATATATTTACAATATATTTACAATATATTTACAATATATTTACAATATATTTACAATATATTTACAATATATTTACAATATATTTACAATATATTTACAATATATTTACAATATATTTACAATATATTTACAATATAGTTACAATATATTTACAATATATTTACAATATATTTACAATATATTTACAATATATTTACAATATATTTACAATATATTTACAATATATTTACAATATATTTACAATATATTTACAATATATTTACAATATATTTACAATATATTTACAATATATTTACAATATATTTACAATATATTTACAATATATTTACAATATATTTACAATATATTTACAATATATTTACAATATATTTACAATATATTTACAATATATTTACAATATATTTACAATATATTTACAATATATTTACAATATATTTACAATATATTTACAATATATTTACGATATTTTTACAATATATTTACAATATATTTAAAATATATTTACAATATATTTACAATATATTTACAATATATTTACAATATATTTACAATATATTTACAATATATTTACAATATATTTACAATATATTTACAATATATTTACAATATATTTACAATATATTTACAATATATTTACAATATATTTACAATATATTTACAATATATTTACAATATATTTACAATATATTTATTTACAATATATGTACAGTATATGTAGAATATACTGTACAATATATGTACAATATATATACATTCTATTTTTGTGACGTAAGAAAGTCAGAAAAAAACCTTAAAAGTCAATCAAAATTTTCTGACAATCATGAAAGAATTATACGA